CGTGTTACACACGTCGTCAGGCGATTGTTGCAGAAAAGAAAATGACGTGCATGTCACGTCAACTGTGACGCATTTATTTATTAATAAATAAGATTAGTATTCATACATATGTAATTTTATCATCAGTTGATGCGTCTTTATTTTATTCTCTTCTGGAACCCCCTGAACACTGCCTGAACGCGCTCCGAAGTGATTTGCACTCGACTGTTCTGGCACGCGCGACCGTAAATTTCTTTGCACCGCAAGTGGTTAAGAATTCTCGGAATGGAAAAAAAAAAACGATTTTCTGTCGTCACACTCGAAAACTTAACAATGTCGCCTTTTTAATTAACGTTTTCTTCATAATCTTTACTTGCAGTTCTCGAGACGCAAAAAGAGGAAGAAAGAGAGATTAAAGACTCGAAATTCCGTTACGGCAAAAAAATAAGAAGAGGAAGCGGACGGAAATAAATAGCGAAATGGAGGGGTATCAACCGCCGCAGTCGAAATATCGGTCGGTTAACAGCAACCACGAGTCCTACGTCAGATTCATTAACACGACACCTCACTACGTTACCATGTACTGGATGGATTATCAAGGACACGCGGTTGATTACGGCGTTCTCTCACCCCGAGGCTGCAAGGAAATAAATACGTTCGCGACTCATCCGTGGATCTTCGTTAATACAGAAACCGGTGACAGGTACGTGTAACAATCGTTTTTTTTTTTTTTTTTTTTTTTCGATCAAAGTTCATTGAATTGCTAAGAAATCAATTGCAGTTGTTTTCATTTTTTTGCGACTTGAACATTTTGCAAATTAAATGTTGCTGATTTGTTGACGTAAGTGGGACAATAACTTCGTGCTCGAAATAGGTTTTCAAATAGAGAATATTCTGGTTTGTGCATTCGCTAAAATAGACGATCTGATAACGTACGATAACAGGTATATGGTGGATCAGCACGACGTTTTCTATCCGAAAGCGTTTGCGAATGACCAGGCGAACCATAACGGGCTGCGTCCGCCGGTGCCGCGGAGAATCGAGAGGATCAACGTGTGCATTGTTCTGCCGATGTTTACGCTTCAAGAATTGTCGCTGAGGGTCATCAAAAAATATCTCAAGTACGATTATCAGGCGTTCGATCTCGAAATTCCGCGTAGTCTTCAGGTTGAGCTTTACAACACTCGGCCGAAGAAATCTCGTCCGAAAACAAGTTCGTAACTCGAGTGGTAGTACAATAGCAAATCGAACGCTTGTTGTAATTTTGTCACATGGACAAACAGACGTTTCAGGAGTTTGTAATTTTTATGACACACGCGGAAACTTGTTTGTACATGTCGTGTATTATATCGACGTATGTGTGTCGTCACGTTACGTTAATATTACATGCAAATTGCATTTTGCAAGTAAATATTTTACAAAAATACTCTTGAAAAGAGTGCAAACTGTGAGTGATCTCGCAATAGATCGCATTTTGAATGAAATTTTTTCCGATATAATTAAAAAAAAACCGATCGAATTCACGTAAATACAGTAAAATATTACGATTATATAATCCACGTGGAAGATATATATTTCGTGGAAGATATATATCTCTGTTTCTTTCTTATTAAGAACATAATTTTTAAATTCCAAGATTTTCGTACAATTTTCGTAAATACAAAGCACCACGTGCGAAACTATTTGAAGAAAAGCGATGTGCGCTCACACAAAAATCAAAATACCAAATCGCGTAAGGGATCACGTGCAGTTGTTTTTGTTTTCTCATTGTGCAATATATATAATTTCGTCAATTATACTTTTCTCTTGTGTTACGAAGAAAAGATCTTCAGTGCTGTCCCCCGAGTTGCCATTCTATCTTGATATGCGCTCGTTTGCAAAATAGATAGACACAATTAGATTGTACTTTGTATCTGTACTAAATATTTTATACTCACATTTTTTTATTTATACTATAAGAGCGTTTCTGAGTACAAAAGCGAACTAACGAGATACACAGTTTTCGTTTAACAACGAATAAATCAACAACGAATATCCTCTTTTCGATATCCTAACCTTCTCCTCTCTGATAACGATTTCGATTGGGTGCGCCCGCCGCCGTACAGGAAGTTTCTGGAAAATCGTCGATAGTAATCCGAGCTCGTTTTCGCAATTTGTTAGAGTTCCAAAGGTATTAAAGCCGGCTTCTCTTTCTCTCTTCCGCCACCTCTCTGTGTCTCGTCCTTCTCGCTCCTCTCGCATTCCTTTCATTTTCCACGTGAGCTCAAGATATTCCAAAAACTTTATGTTAATTAACAGTTAAATTAGTCGAATATCGAGCGCACTCTCTTAGATGTAAAACGATTGTAGTAATAATTCGATTTGCAGCGTAAATTTTGTTTTAAAAGAAAAAAAAAACATGTTAACCGGTGTAATAAATATACATATGTAATATACGTATGTGTGTGTTATATATACGTTAAAAAATTGTATACAAAAAAAACATATATTGAAATATATATTTTTACAGAATATCCGACTCTCCGAATAATTTTCATAATTTCACAAGTTTTTCGTGTTTCACGAAATCTTCTTTTTCCGGTAAACTTCAGTTTCTCGTTACTCGGGACTAGTCGGTGAAATAAAACTTTGGATAAAAAATTCTTGAACTATCGGTAAAAATTCAGCGACTATTCCGACAACGAGATGCGAGTAAGTTGCACCGGCGCTTTTTCATCACGTTGTACGATGTAACTTTTGTATCTTTATATATTTAATATGTTTTTTTCATAAATAAATGTATGCAAGGGAGCAGCGAGAAGAGTGGTGGCGCCGGAGAAGAGCGCAGAGAGAGGACTGTCGGGTAAGTCAATTTCTACCGCGCAGTTATTCGAGTGGTCAGCAATCGATTAAACACGCGCCAAATGGACTTCGGTCACTTCCTCTTAATCCGTTCTGACCCTAATGGATTTTAAACCCATCGCAGAATGTCATCGCGCGACTCGTCTGCGGTCGGACTTATTGCCTGTTTTGGATTAAATGTTATCCGTACACAACATAAATTCCACGCTTTGATCAAACGAAGAAGGATGTGTAGAGGTCGAGACTTCTAATTAAACTTTGCCCTTCCCGGAGGAAAGTCGAAAGTTAAGAACCGGAAATCTTTCGTGCGTGTCTCTCTCTCTCTCTCTCTCTCTTTGTGTGTAACGTCGAGTTTTCGTGAGTGCGTGAATGGAACGTTGCCACACGCGCGCTGTCTTTGTGGAACATCGGGGAAAAAGAGGAGAAAACACGGAAAAACGAAGATCTGATCGCGTGAGAGATGGAAAGCGACACATTTGTGAAATCGACGGAACAGATCGTGAGAATCTTACGTAAGACGTAAACAATGCGATACGCCGAAAAAAAGAACGATGGTTCGTCGTCGGCAATATTGACACTTTTTGAATCGCTTACGTAAGATTGTTTTTAATTGATTTGTAACGATTGTCGGAGGAGAGCAACGACCGCTGCGGTTTTATTCTTGTCAGAGAGTTGCGTTTTTTGAAGAGCACGAAAAAATTTCGCGCTCCCACCGGCGAAAGCTCGGCGGTGCCGTTTATTTTTCGCGAAGCGCATCGCAAATTTGGGCTTTAAATATTTCTACGCGGTTGCGGAAATCGGAAGTTCCGAAGTTCCGCCGATGCGATTTCATGCCGGTACGTGCTTGCACGTTTCGACCGTAAATTTCGCAGTCTTCATTGCGTTCGGATTTACAGGTTGATCTGTAACGGCAACTCTCGCAGGAGTTCTGGGGGGGCGCGCGCGTTCGCAATTGATCGCGACCGACCGGATATAAAAGCAAATAATCGAATGTCTCCGTGAAATCTGGAAATATTAATCAGTATATACCAGTTGTGTCTCGGTTATTTCGAATGGATAAAATAATATTCGCGAGAGAAATGAAATTGACGTGACTTTTTCTTTTTCAACAAACGTTATATTACCAATGACTGGAATAATTTTGAGAGTCAAATCAGATTTGTGATTTCGTCAATAAACGAAAGTCGCGTTACAAACGTTAAAAAACCGTCAAGTCCTTAATTCAGTCAAGTGCGAAATTAGAATCTGTCACGACTGTCGGCGTTCGATGTATAGAATTCGAGCGTTAATGGCGATCGCTGATCTAGAGGAAACCGCGAAGGGAACAACGATTGCGGCAGATCGCAAATGCACTTGGCAGATTCGCGGAGTTCATAGCCGAAGTTTGTTGTTGCGCCGCGCGCGCGCGCGCGCACTTGAACGTCGTCGAGGTAGAGGTACTCTCCGAGTTTAATACTGGTTTAATCATGACCGGGTCCGAAGTTCCCGTCGTCTGTGGTTTTTGGCCGGCGCATAATATGACCCGGCGCGGAGGGTCGTGCAAACAGCGTGCGCGCGCGCGCGCGCGGCAAGCAAGCGAGCGAGCGAGCGCGGGCGAAAACCACACGGTTCCCCGAGGTGCAACCATTTCGATTACAACCGTGAAACTGCGCCGCGGGAAAGGAAGGAGGATGGATCGGCGATTGTGTAGCTGGACGCGTCACTATACTATTCCCTCGACATGCAAATCGTTGCGCGCGGGAAGAGGGCGAGCGCGCTCTCAATTTTTGAACACTTGTCCGACACGCTCGACCGTTTTCGCGGAAGTTTTCGTTTTGTGTGCGAAAAGTGCGATGCATGGAATAATAGATGGGACGGAAAACACGGAAACTTCAGTACTCCATTTCAAAATGCCGAATGTACGCGCAATGTGTCTTCTTTACTCTGTACACAAAACAAACTTGTTTAAGTTCTAACGAATTTTCGATGAAGAGAAAAATAAACCGAGATGCGAAATCGATTGATTTCGGATGAGAATTGCATGTAAACCGCGTATTTTGAGAAATTTATTAACGCTATTCTATATGTAAATTTGTAGCGCATGTCTCGTCGAGAATGGAATCAATTGATTTGTCGAATAAATTAATACACGGCAAATACACTACTACACAAAGTACACCATGTCAGCGCGTGCAGCAGGTATATGTACAAATATGTACAGACAAGTGTGCTTCATGAAATTTGAGAACTTGCTCATTAGTTTGGAATCTCCGACGCGCAAAGCTGAGTCAGACGTATTAATTAACACGTATCGGATGTGTAAGTATGCAACTTCCATTTACATTACGGTATCGTCCAAGTGAGAATTCGTTCAAAAAGAAAACTCTTGACTCGATGAGGTAAATATCTCGGTAATTAAGAGAATTTTTTCAACGAAAAGAAAAAAGTATAAAAATTATTCAAATTACATAACTTCTCAGAAATCAGTATGTATAAATTCAATTTTCCAACGATTTTCAATTACCCGACGCGTATTCAGAATTCAAAACAATAATCGCGTTAAAAAAATTTTGTCATTGGCGAAGTTCCGATCGGCGCCGCGTCTCGCGCAAAGTAATCGATTTTTCGCAAAACAAAGACGCAAAAACGGAATTATTAAATGCCGTTTGAGCATCCACGTTGTTGCGTCACATTCCTCGGCGTTTTCCTATTTTTGCACGTTCGCTGTTCAAACATCGCACCATTGCAAATCGAATATTTGCGATTGCACACATCCGCGAGAGGCTTTCAAGCTGTTAACGGGAAATCCAGATTATCGAGGCGCATCGTTATCGTAGAGAAAAAAATATGGAATAAATAGACTGTAACGAAGTGTTAGTTTTGTCTTTGCTACCGCCATTTGCGGATTTTTTTTTTTTTTTTTTTAATCAGAAATCTCTTTTTTCCCGCAAGAATCACAGACAATAGTTTTCTTTTGTTTTTTATTTTCTTCTAATTAATAGACTCGAATCTCAATTTCAAAGTGACACTCGCGTAACGAATATTTATTTCCCGTCGTTATTTTTGTACAATTGCTTCGCGCTCATCGTTTTTAACAAAACAAATCGGCGGTCTGTCTGTGTGTGATTGGAATCGGTACGTCGAACGAAACTCGCCTGTATGAATATTATTTCTCCCTCTTTGAACGTTCGCATTGCAATATACCGTTTCCGGGATTTTTAAATCCTCATTGATAAGGTTTCTCCATACGGATCCGCAAGTTCTCGCGAAAATGTTCATTAATTCGGGGAAGATAAAGCGATGAAAATTAATATTCATTAAGGCATCGTAATGCGAAACTCCGTTTTATTAAATCGCGCCGTCGGCGCTTAAGACAAGCGCTGTTTCGCGCTGCATCCCTCGCAGATACGAAACGGAGGGAGTAACTTCTTTAAGCAGGTACTCGCTAGATAGCAAGTTCCCGAAGACGATTTCGTTTGCTGTTGCAGTTGGAGCACGACTAAACCCGTGTATGAGACAGACTTGGAGCAATTAACTCTCGCGCGCGTCCACTTAGAGAAGGGCGTTGCACTCGAAGACGATTTCGAAATATTATACGTACACGATTACACGGGAGGGAAGCCGTTCAACAACAGCCGTTGTGTAATTTGTTAAAAGTGTATTTTATTTAACTGAAAAACAAAATTTTCGTGTTGTGCGATTATAGTTTTTAAAAGATCGCTTATTTCACGTCTTACCTTTTACGAGAGGAGGCTCGATTCGCTCGTTGTAACGCTGCGAACTATCGCTTGAGAAAATAATTGAGAAACTTGCTGCTCCATAAACGTTCTCCCGCAACTATAATACTTAAAAAGTTTTAAGTACGCTCTTTACATAATCCATTATCGGAATTAAATAAAATTTGCGGGACTCCGCGCCTCGAAATATATATGCGCTCTCTCTCTTTCTCTCCCCCCTCTCTCCGTGAAGGGTGCGTCGATGCGCATAATGCATCGGGGGGAAAAGGGCTCTGGCGGCGTTTCCATGGCACAGACAGCAAAGCGAGTGTCGAAGTCACGTCGCCGTAATTAGCACGCCAATTAATTAGCAATCGGCGAATCGTACGGAACGAGAGTACGCGCGAATCGACCGGTGCCAGGAATGCGACAACCCTCTCCCCGAGTTAGCTCGCTCGTTTTGCGCGACGGCTCGATATCTAATTAGAAGAACAACCCGTCGCGGCATTTTCTCGTAATTACTCGTAATTAGTCGCTACTTGCAATTGGTAATTACGACGTATTCGCGGAAAACACGAAGGCGGATTTTGTACCGTCGTCGTACGTCGTCCAAAATTGCGTTAAGACTCACGGTGATCTGTTTCGGCGACGGAAAGGCTGAATATTTCAATAAATTACTTTTAGTGCAAATTCTCTCTCAAAAGAGAGAGAGAGAGAGAGAGAGAAAGAAGGAGCGTAAATAGCAACTTGAAGTTGTAATCATTTTACGCGTAATTATAAGAAAAATATAAACAATCGACTTCTTTCCGGAAACTGTAAGATTTATATTCTTTAAGCGTCGAATCGCATCAATCTCGAGATTGAATCACGTTAATTGCAACGTAGGTTCAATTTTCCCGTGGTTT